CGCCACCACAACCGCCTCCATCGGTTCACCAGGAAACAGCCGAAACCGAAAACAGCGGAAAACAGCTGACCACGAGACCACTGAATGGGACATTCAATGAAATGTCCTCCCTAAATCGAAAGAACTCCTTTCGAAATTCGCTCAGCCACTCGACGCACCACCTCTTCAACACGACAGCTAATGGCAAAGTGTTTGACGGCTACTCAACGGCGACCGCCGTGAGCACCTCTGTCGTCAGCACGGCTACCATTGACCGGAAGCGAATGATCAAGAGCAGCATTGCGGAAAAGCAGCCGGCGTACCTCGAGTACCCACCTCGTGCCATGAACCAGCACTCGGCGAGCTTCACTCGACTCAACGGAACGCTGGAGAGGAAGCGCAAGAGTCGCACTGACCTGAACACCATTGACCGCTCCTACCTGCGCAACCTCTCCGCCGCCGGCACTGCCATCAGCGAGATGGACCGCCAGTCAAACGGCAATGCAGCCTTCTTGGGCCCCGCCAACGGGCCCATTGTGATAATGCAAAGCTCGTGCTAGCTGCCCCCTTAAGTTTTCACCACATTTTTTCTCCTCCCATCACCACAAGTGCCATTGTCTCGACATTTGCCTATTTATTCAACTGCCCCATATTTTTATTATTTGAGCTCAGTATTACTGAATCGATGTGTACAGTTTTTTTGTTTGTAAATACAACTTGTGTATAAAAAATAAATATCAAAACATTGTCTTTAACTCTGCTGCTCTTGCAGCCAACCAGTTGCTTTGCGTTTTGCATTGAGAATACAATCTGGTACACTGAAGCCATGGTACGATGCTCCCAGTAGTGACATGTTCAGTTTGGTAATTTCATTCTCAATTGTTTCCACTCGCTGTCCATGATTGAGTGTGTATTGGGCAATGCAGTTCTAAAATAAAAACGAGTTGGTAACATGAGCATAAGATGGATTGCACACAGCATACCTGATGAATGGACACCAAATGATGCACAGGCTCTACCTGAATCTTCAAGTAGGACTTTAGCGCACCGAGAGCTATTTGCTTCAAGTGCTCTGGATCAACCGTTTCAGGCTCACCAAACAACTCTTTAAAACGATAACCACCAAGCATGACCTAATTTAAATTATTGTAAACCAAATTTTTTTCAATCAAAGACAAAACTTACCGTCAACTTTGTTCCTTGACTGGCTTCGCTCTGAAATATGCACGAGTCAAATGTTACACCCAAAATGGGAGAATTTTCTTTTAGAGGAACTAAAAAGCCAAAACCATGCACAACTTTAGGCAGTACTTCTCGGTCAAACTGCAGAGAGACTACAGCCATGTGAACAGTAGGAATGGCTTTCAGAGTTGATTTTAGCTTCTCGTGGCCTGACAAAAGTGAGGCCAATTTAAAGGCGGGAATCGATGAAAATACGTGATCAACTTGAAGATTTAATGAGCTGCTCAAGTCAGCATCAGCCTTATCTGCAGAGATCATTACTTTATTTTCGGTAAACGTCAGGTTGGTCACTTCGGTATCTGGCATCAGTTCGATAGCTGAGGAGTAGTTTTCTTCTAGCTCAGTGCATAGCCTATCAGGCAGTCTTTGAACTCCACCGTCAAACGAAAAGACGGCCCATTTCTCTCGGACTGATTTTTTCACCAGCCAATGATCGGCTAAATCTGCATAAATATCCTCATTGGAAGAGAACATCCCCCTTACAACTGATCCAAATTTCTGTTCTTTCTTCAGTACATTGGGGAACATTGATTGCATGCTCAAGGCACTACTGTTGCCGCCAGTGATGCCGATGCACAATGGATTGACCAGATAGTCGGCTATTTCTGGAGCAAAACGGTACCGAAAGAAGGCATCAACAGACATGTCATCGCCGGGCTTGATTTGAACCGGCGGCGTTCTCCAGTCTTTCACCATGTAACTGATGAACGGTTTGAAGGGTTTTCGTGCCTGAAACAAGTGAATAAGCTTGGAAGGCAGTACAAACAGCTTTCCATCGATGGCCACGAATCGCTTGCTAAAGTTGGGTGATTTTTTATCGACAGCCTTGACACAATCGCCTAAACCGATATCTCCTGCCTGTAAAATAGAACCAGTTGATCTTTTTTTATAACTTTGCAAAAGCGTTCAGTACCAGAGCAACAACATTAGTACCAGCATACGAATTTGTACTAATAGTTCGAGGACCCAGTTCAAAGATATCATCAGCATTGGGACCAAATGAGCGCGAGTGAAGCCATCCTCCGAAACGAGATTGACTTTCCAAAATGTAGCACTTGGAGATGGAAACGCTGTGCTTGGCTGCATTTGAAAGCAGGTAATAAGCGGTCGTCAAGCCACTAATGCCGCCGCCGAGAATCGCTACAGAACGGGATGCAGCCATTCTTCAGCGAGAAGAAATGATGTTCCGGTGATTCAATGGAATTTAATGGAATGTTTGCAAACAAGTTGCCTACTTCTGTTGCCAACTTTGCGCACGAGGTGGCAACATTCAACAGTAAACATGATCTTTGAGCAAAAAAACATTTTCCTAAACTGTTATTTGATCTGCATCAAATCTGCCATGGACAACGCCAGCGTCGATCCAAATTCGCTCAGTTCACCTAGCACCGAAGGCAAGTTTTAATAAAAACTTAAAAAAATTTTAACAGCTCTTTTTAGAAGCGTCAGCGTATCCTGATTTCATTTCTTCATACACGCAAATTTCCAACGTTCACGACCTAAGCCAACACACCGATGTTGATTCTTCAGATGAATTTTCCGATGAAATTGACGACTCAAAGACCAAACCACTGGGCCAAGATGAAGGACTGCCTCAGCTTGCATCTAAAATCATGGAGTGGAGTTCAAGTAAAGAGCGCCTGTACCAAACATATGATAGCGATCCAATCAACTTGATGAGGCACAGTCTTTCCCCGGCGAAGGGCAGAGATGTGGACAGAGAAAAGTTTTATTTTGTTCAAATGAAGCTACTGAAAAATATTGAAACATACGCCAGTAAATTGTCGCAAAATGTAAACGACATAATGAAGTTTATCTGTAATTCATCTCTCAATGTAAGAATGTTCAATCACTTCAACAATCACTGTTGTTTAACACATTTTCGATAATCTACAGATGACAACTACTACAAGAGAATCTATGGAAGGCTTCGAATCTACTCTTCACAATACTTGCGAAAGTGTGGACGTTAACATAAAGGTTTGCAATGATGATTCAACCTTTTTTTGTAACAGTCTTCATTTTACTCTTTAGCTCATGTACAAAATTATAGCCAACTGTGAAGAGCTGAATAAATCACTGGACGTTATTTCGATTGAAACCCTGTCGAGTAAAATGTGCGTACTNCGCAATGATGATTCAACCTTTTTTTGTAACAGTCTTTTCATTTTACTCTTTAGCTCATGTACAAAATTATAGCCAACTGTGAAGAGCTGAATAAATCACTGGACGTTATTTCGATTGAAACCCTGTCGAGTAAAATGTGCGTACTGGTAGTACTCTCTCTCTCTGCAACTGTCTATTAACTGTCATTTTGTTTATTCCTCCTCCTAGTCGGGAAGTGAAACAAACGCTCGAAGTGTTTGAGCGCATCACCGAGAGAAACTGATGGAAGGGAGAGAGAGCATGCCACTCATCGCTGTAATAAACATGTGTAATAGACAAGTGGAATCCTGCGAGGCAGGTGTCACTAACCTAGATTGACACGGTGCATTTGTGTCCGCACGCCCGGCGCGATACTGCAACTCACGGTGATCCATTCGAAAGTTGTCAACCGCCGCCGACACTCCACCTCCAGTCGTAATGCGTCCCGCACACCTCACTCTGCACTGTACACAGTCCTCTGAGGATAGATCGACGACCACTACGATTGTGCGATGAATTGGTGCTTTTATTAACGACTTTTAAAAATAAACTACAGCCCGTCGTCTTACGGCGTTGCTGCATTTTTGCTGGTGTGTGTGTGTTTTTCGCGGCTCGAGACTACTCGAGTGAACTGTGACCGAAGAAGTGAACGAACGAACTCTCATTTGTCAACTTCCAAGCTGGCGGGCAACAGCACTTCACTGACCGAGAATGAGCTCGACTTGCTGGAGGACCGCAGTGGCATAACCACCCGACAGACGCGAGACGCCGCCCAGACGGAGGTCCAAGCGGTGGCAGGCACGAACAGCGTGACCACTCCGATCAGCACCGCCACTACGCCCACCACTCGACGGCCTTCCCGCAAACTGGAACATGTGTATGTCTGGGACTGTGGTCGATGTCTGTGCGTCTCCAATCTCAACACCATGAATAAGGTCATTCGCATTCTGCTCATCTTCTTCCAAGTCTTTCTCTTTGTAAGTCTGTTTGAATGCACTGAACCGGTTTGTGCTAACCAGTTTGATGCTGCTGCAGATGTTCAGCGGAACCATCCTCGGCATCGGCATATGGCTCATAGCTGACCCCAAGTCGTACGAGCCTAGTCGCTTCCTGGACACCTACAATCTCATCCATGCCGCCTACATAATGATCATCGTCGGTGGCTTCACCATGTTTCTCACCCTCTTTGGCATCGCCACCACTGAACTTCAAAACGTGTACATGATCATTGTGGCAAGTATTGAACGTTACTTGTGATAAGCCGTACATTTCAACTTTCCTTTTAGTATCTCCTGCTCCTGTTGATACTGTTTGGCATGCAGGTGGCCATTGTCACGCTGGCCATCAATAAAGGTTTTGGTACTCGGGTGAGGAACATTACCTCAATTAGGAGGTTGCTTTATCTCGTTATTGACCACCCATATTTAGTTGTACATTTTTGCATATAAAGAATTTCTGCGCGAAGTACAGCAGTACAACTACCAACAGGAAGCTCGGAAATTCGTTGATTTTTTTCAGGTGAAGGTAGGTGAACGGTTCAGAGTCCGGTTTGGCATTTTGTTATCACCCATTTTATCTGTAGCTTAAATGCTGCGGCGTAGAGTCGTTCAACGACTATCCGCGCTATGGAATGGCCATTCCCGTCTCCTGCTACATGGCTGGCCACACCTACCTCAACGAGAAGGTACGTTCCTAAAAGGGTCATTAGCCAAACACCCAGCCAACCATGCTACTGACACCGTTTACAGGGCTGTGCCTTGGCGCTGCGGCAGTTCCTCGAGCTGCGAATGGCCGTGGTGGGCTTTCTCAGCTTCTTCAACGGCCTCGTTCACATCATCATCATCGTTCTGCTGTTTATGTTGCTCTGCGTCAAGAAGTATTGACTTTTTGCCCTTTTCCCAGTATCGCATTCCCTTCTCATGTTTTCTCTTTCATATGTCCACATAGATATGCTATCTACAAAATAAACCGATAACTATTCGTTCTTTGCCTTCCAATTCAACCCCGCCACTGACACATTCTCCTCTGACGACGTTGGATCTCCAAAAAACTCCATAACAAAGAAAATGAAAACAGAGTTTTATACACACATGAAACGGTTCATTTTAATTTTGTACAACAGTGTTTTGCGACATGACAGTTTTTTGTCGTTAATAATAAAAAGTACAACATCAGCGATTGAGTAATCGTAATCAGTGCTTTTCCAAACAAATGAGTAACAGAGTTCATTGAGAGAGAGTGATGAGTTAGTTTTGCAACAGTTGATTAATTTCGAGCATCAGTTCGTCCTCTTCAAGGTTTCCATCGGCATCGGCATTCAGCGAAGGAGCGAGTTCAGTGGTAGACAAAAGTTCATCCTCCAAATCAAAATCCAATTCTTCAATTAAAGAATCGTTGCTTTTCGAAAGAGGTTCTTTGAGGAGAGGTTCTGGAGCAGATTTGTCGGGAGACATCTGTGGAGATTTTTTACTTGGTTCACTTGTTTCAGCATTTGTTGACGATGGCACAGAGTAGCGATTACGTCGAATCTTAACTGGTTTTGAGTTGGAGCTTTTATTATCGCCTTCTGATTCAAGAGCTCTTTTTTTAATCGTCGTAGGAGAAAGATTTTCAACTTTGTCATTACTAGATTCAGCTGCTTCTCTTTCTTTTCTTATTTGTTCAAGTGGCTTTACAACAAAAGTACAGTCGATCTTTCCGTTTTGAAACGATTCTTTGCGATTCTTATCACTTTGTGTGTGTTCGCCTGCCAACGCACTGGTTTCAGTTGAGGAGCTTCCATTCTTAGGGACATTGTTCTCATCAATCGGAGAAGAGTTCAATATCTTTTCCAGCTTTTCTTGCTCTTCACTAGGCTTAGCATCGCTAGGTTTCTGTTTCTCCTCGACGTGGTTTTCCGGGTCGTCCGACTCGTCATCATCAATGGAAATGTTGATCTCATTACTCTTCGACTCAACTGTGAGATTTGGAGTATAGTCGGTAGTAGGGAGAATCAAATTGCTCGGCGAGCTCTCGGCAGTGACATTGTGTCGGGGTTTAGAGTGCTGAAAAACGCAATGTGGCTTTCGGCATCCTTGAGGCTGAGTCTCGAACCAACACGGAGTGCTAGACCGGTCCTTGTTTGGAATCATATGACGGAAGGTGCAATTTCGGTCTTTGCATCGTCCAACTCGCCACAACTCGCAAACCACTTCAGAGCCAAGTGCTTGATCACAGTGCCGGTACTGGCACGGCTTCCTGTTGCAGGACGACAGAAAGAAGTAATAGCAATCTTCTAGATGGGACATGATAGGGTTCTGTAGAAAATTCTAGAGAGAAGCAAGTTGCCTTCCTAGGTCAGTCTGGAAGCGAATCAAGCCTGGAAGAAAAAACGTTAGGTCATTAAAGAAGTTGTTGTCATTACTCCCGGTAATTACGTACGAGATAGAAGGGACTAACTTGGAGTGAAAGTCCTGGAAAAGACAAAATGTTGATGGTGAGAGAGTTTTGGGAGAGCGACGCTTGGTGTACGAGCGCAAAATAGAAATGAAAACGATAGAAGCTCATTTCGGTCAGTGCACCTTTTAGGTGGCGCTGCGGTGTCTCGGTGGGCTCTGCCGACCACCACAGCTTGCCTGTTCCCCGTCATTCGCTTCACAACAACAGAGAGCCTGCCGCCCACCAGGTTCTCAGGTGCTAGGTTCGCTCTCTCGGGTCCTGCTCAAAAGTAAACAACGTTGCCAGAAGATTCAGTTGGCTTTGCTCAAAGATCAGCTCTACAAGTTGGCGCTAAAGTGGCATTTAGTATTGAGCAACGTTGTTCTCTTCATCTGTTGCTTCACGGCGACTGTCAAACACAACTGAAATTGAGTCAAAACGTTTCGCTCCACATATGCTGGCATCGTGTTACGCAACGGGTACATCAACTACTGTGTGTTCACAACTATCAGGGGCAAGTTATCAGCATGGATTCGGTCGGCGATAACTACCACACTGAGACCTTTGTAGATGCTTGCGATAAGCTTCTCGAAAAAATGAGATGTCTGAGTGAAGAGCTGGATAAAGACTACTACTCGACGTGCAATGGAGGTGAAGATGCGGCCACAACCGCCAGCAATCTCTTTGAAACGGGACAAAATGGCAACAGTAAAGACGTGTCCAAGCTCAGCTCTCCAAAGAGGCCGACTGACTTTACTTCTAATATTGATAAAATAACAAACTATCGCTACAGTTTCTATGAAAACTCCAATAAGATATCAGTCTACGTTGCCTCTTCTGCAACGATCACCCAAGCTGTAAGTTTCTTCTGTGGCAAAGTTATTTCTCTCACTAAAGAAATTAATTTCAACAGCTGGCAGAATATAACCAAAGTTCTCGTGATGAGCTTAGCAATGGAAAACAACAGCAGGAAGCAATTACCTCGAAGCCGTTTGGCTGTCACCCAAATACAGTCCAGCTCTCATCGGGTGGTCAGTTTTTGCCGGATTTTATTGAAAGAGCATTGGCATTCTTGGACCTTTACGGTCTCAAATCAGTGGGCATATTTCGCAAGTCAGGTGTAAAGTCAAGAATCAATGCTCTCAAAAAGCAGATTGAAGACGGCATTGAGATAGAGTTTGACTCGTCTTGTTGCGTTTTCGATGTGGCCGATCTAGTAAAGACCTGGCTTCGAGACCTCAATCCTCATCTGATTGGCAAAGAGTTGATCGATAATTTTACCAAATCAAAAGATACCTTTTCTCTTTGGCATCTTGATGACTCCCACCGGTATTTGCTCTTCGTTGTTCTCAAATTTTTATCGTCAGTTTGCTCACATTCCAAGCAAAATCAGATGACGGCTCACAATTTGGCCATCTGTTTTGCGCCCTCACTATGCCATTGCGATGACGAACATTACATTCGAAGTGCCCAAAAGTGTCTGGAGCACTGCATTGAAAATGTTGAATCCCTCTTTTACATTTCCATCGATCCGACTACCTCCAAGACGACCCCTTCTCTAAATCGACACACCTCATCAACAGTTATCTGTGCTAGTCCTCAGGACATTTTGAGCAGATTGCTCCATCAAAGGTACGTTCTAATAAGCATCTTTGGAATCAATATTCACGTCTCCGTTTCTTTTTTTGCAGAAGCATAATTGACCCTCTAATTCTTGAATGGCGTATTAAAGATTCCTCCTTGAACTGCGATATTATTGAAGTTAATTTCCAGTTTAGCAGACTTGCGTATGTCTCGTTGTGTGTAACTCTGAACCTGTTGTTATAAAGATTTTTACTCGCCTTTACAGTGAAGTCAAAACTTTTGTGTTCAAGCGAAGCTGGAAGATTTCCAAAAACGAATCCATTACACTCAACGAAGACAATGACTCCTTCAAGTCTACTTGGATTCTAAGTTCAAGCGGAGAGGGGACGACGCGCACTGTAAATGATGTGTACTTGGATTTTAGGTATCAACAAGAGTGATTGGAGTTTATTTATCTTATGATGCTAACAAGCATTTTTCTTCTAAAACAGAGGCTTTTCCCGACACTGGTATCAGTCTACATTCGCTGCAATACACGACCAACAGCTTCAACAGCTGAGCTCATCATTCCAGCCTAGAGGACTCCTTGAGGACTCTAGCTCTTCTAATCATGGCCAAAAGTTGCTTATTTCAGATGTGTGATAAAGANTCTAAAACAGAGGCTTTTCCCGGCACTGGTATCAGTCTACATTCGCTGCAATACACGACCAACAGCTTCAACAGCTGAGCTCATCATTCCAGCCTAGAGGACTCCTTGAGGACTCTAGCTCTTCTAATCATGGCCAAAAGTTGCTTATTTCAGATGTGTGATAAAGAGTAACACTGATATTTTTATTTTATTTTGATACAAACTTCACTTTTCAAAGCAAATAAAAAATTTTAAAACTTCGAAAAAACTTGCCAGGAAAACTTGTTAAGGCAAAACTTGCCAGAAAGAGTCCATGAGAGAGTGAGTCAGAGCGAGCGAGAGAGATAGAGAGAGAGAGAGACGATAGCCAAAACGGCGCAGCAGCTGTCGTTTATATTTACCTGTGTTTACAGTCCTCATCACAACCTCATCATCAGTCGCCGAAAAAGAAAGGTCTCCTCCAAAAACCGATTCGCTGATCCATGTCTCGCTCCAAGGTTTCCTGCCCCTCCCATCCGGATGCCAATCTGATTGAGGACTACCGGGCGGGAGACCTCGTCTGTCCTGAGTGCGGCCTTGTGGTGGGCGACAGAGTGGTGGATGTGGGCAGCGAGTGGCGTACCTTTAGCAATGACAAGGCCACTGCAGATCCCTCTCGAGTGGGCGCCGCCGAGAATCCACTCCTGGAGGGCTCAGACCTCACCACGATGATCGGCCGCAGCTCGTCAGACGCCGCCTTCGACGCTGATGGCAACGCCAAATATCACAATCGCAAGCACCTCTCCAGCTCGGATCGAGCCCTGGTGAACACCTTCAAGGAGATTGGCAACATGTCAGACAAAATTAATCTCTCAAAGACTATCGTCGACAGGGCGAATGTACTCTTCAAGCAGGTACACGATGGCCGAACACTGAAGGGGCGAAGCAATGATGCCATCGCCTCCGCCTGCCTGTACATTGCCTGCCGCCAGGAAGGTGTGCCGCGAACATTCAAGGAAATTTGCGCCATTTCGAAGGTTTCTAAAAAGGAAATTGGACGCTGCTTCAAACTTATCCTGAAGGCGCTTGAAACCTCGGTAGATCTCATCACAACAGGCGACTTTATGTCACGCTTTTGCTCCAACCTGGGGCTGTCCAATTCGGTGCAGAGAGCGGCCACGCACATTGCCCGCAAGGCAGTTGAGCTGGACATTGTACCGGGCAGGAGTCCAATTTCGGTTGCCGCCGCCGCCATATACATGGCCTCTCAAGCATCGGCTGATAAGAAGTCTCAGAAAGAAATTGGCGATATCGCCGGTGTTGCCGATGTCACCATTCGCCAGTCGTACAAGCTTATGTTTCCCAAGGCCGCCCAGCTCTTTCCGGCTGATTTTAAGTTTGTCACTCCGATTGACCAGTTGCCCCAAGCGTAACTGATTCGGTTTCGAGCAGAGTCTTTTGTGGCTGGCATAATCACGCCTCTATTTACATCTTGTCGTTACTTCGATTTTTCACTCATTTGTTGGCTGGGTTATATTGTGATTCAATCATGACACGCTGTTACACTGTACAAAAAAANCTTGTCGTTACTTCGATTTTTCACTCATTTGTTGGCTGGGTTATATTGTGATTCAATCATGACACGCTGTTACACTGTACAAAAAAAAGAATTGACACAAATAAAACAGTAAAACAGCTAGCTTTTGTGTGCTTTATTTATGTATCTTACAAAATGGGTAAAACAAGTAAAAATGACAATAGAAAACAGAATATTTAAAGCAATTCCTAGCGAGCCTTCTCAGTAACCAGGCCTTTGGACACCAGATCGGGTATTTCCACCGCCAGCCAGGGTCCCAACTGTGAAAATATAAAAACGTAAAAATACTGTGAGTAAAAGAATAAAAGTCTCGACTTACTCCGAGGGCCATTGCATGGGCTATTCCGAATTTGACAACATTACGCGCCCAAAGGGGCTTGAAGTGGTCGCTCGTGCAAATTTTTCCTCCTCGGTACATTTTGGCCGTTTTTCCATCCAACTCGGGAATTGCTATTTCAGGCGAAGTAGTGGGATATGTTACCGGAATCTATAGCAATAAATAAAAAAATAGTTTACAAAAAAGAAGATGTGAATTGTACTTACGTCAAACTCTATATCAAACTCGTATTTGATCAGCTCGTGAATGTACCAACACTTTCCAAACCACCTAGTTCCGTCGCTGTTTGATTCAAGTCGGAACCAGTCATTGTCGTTATCTTTGTTCTTCTGTACATACTGCAAGAGAACATGTTTTTATTTTTTTGTACAACATAAAAATCAAATAAAATCAGTTACCTCAATTAGAGCTTTATACTCTTCTTTGACTCGGGTGGGCCACAGCTCCTTGTCGCGTGGTCCTGCTTTAGTTGTGAGCAGAGGAATTGAACTGAGAGATTTTCGGGTGGCTGCATCAACCATTTTGGATCGCCGGGGTCCTAGGAGCGGGGGGATTTACTAAGTCCAAAAAGAGGAAAGTTGACGTCGTCATCAAAAGAGTAACTTCTCAGCTGTTCCCGTGCAGTCAAAACAGACGCTTTCTCAAAGTGAGTCACTTTTTGCCTCCTACAAAAGGGGGCAAGATTAACGTTCTCAGCGCTTGCTCACCCACGGCGTGCGTACCGCAGCGGAAAGGCGAATCGTGCAGACTTTTGTGAGAGGCACTGAATGACCAGCGCCGCCAGTGAATGATCACCCCACATGCACACAGCTGCGCTCACAAGCCGCATTACTTTCCGCCAATTTAGTCCAGGAAAGAAGCCACACTTTGGCATCATTTCTCCAAATGACAGTCAAGAGTATGCAGATAGAAGACGAGCACGAGGTTGCCGATGAGATGGCCTCCGATTCCACGAAAATGAACGGCTTGCCGCCCAAAAGCAAGTATGTTTACATGTTTGATTCTGATCTACTTGCCAAAACATCTATCTTATTTCCCGGTAACACTAACTTTGTTGTTCTTTTCCCTTCAGACAAGGAGTCATTGAGCTTGGAGATGTGACACCCCACAACATTAAACTCTTGCGTCGGTTAAATCAGGTCATCTTCCCCGTTAGCTACAACGATAAGTTCTACAAAGATGTCCTCGAATCTGGTCCACTAGCTAAGCTAGGTAAGGCCTAATTGTTCAACTGCATTCTGTTGTTGGCTAACATTTTGTAATTTTAGCTTTTTATAACGACATCATGGTGGGCGCCGTGTGCTGCCGCATTGACACCACCGATCCAAACGCCCGTCGCTTGTACATCATGACACTAGGCTGTCTGGCTTCGTACCGGCGTCTGGGAATCGGCACTGAAATGGTCAAACACGTGCTCGACTACGTCTCCTCCAAGGACAGCAACTTTGACAGTATCTTCCTTCACGTTCAAGTCAACAACCAGGACGCCATCGAGTTTTATCAAAAGTTTGGCTTTAAAATTCTCGAGACGCGAAAGAACTACTACAAGCGCATTGAGCCTCCAGATGCGCATGTCTTGTCGAAAAGCCTAAAAAAGAACTGAAGGCTTTCCTCCCTTTCCATTTGATGATGGCTTAGGGGATGAGTTGTAACTGATAAATGCCCTTTTCATTAATAAGAATATCCACTTGATCACACAGCACACACATGTAAGAACCATTGCCTACCAAAGTTGGACTGTATTAAAATGTACTTTATGTGAGACACAACAAGTGAGTAATGAGTTGAATTTACAGTGAAATTAACGCACTTGGAAGGGGGATGAACTACTCTTCCATTTCCTCGTGAACTTCCTTCGGCACCAGATACTGAACACCTGACATGGCCACATTACAGGTGGGACAGGGGTGGTTCTGAGCAGTGCCGCCCTCAAGGCAGTGATAGTGAATGCACAGATGGCATTTGTGGCAAGTGAGGCCGATCAGACAGGTAAAGGTGCACACATTGCAGAGAAAGATCGAAAACTTGGAGTGCAGATAGCTGCTCATCAGGGACAAGGTGCGAACACCGACGGTGATTCGACGATCAGAGTCCATAAAGGTGAACCACTTTCGAGTAGCCCAACGGGCAAGCAACTTTTCAGCCATACTCATTGTCAAGTGGGTACCGGTGACTTTGCGCGACAAGTTGACTGCAGTGCTGGTTGAAATGGACAAGAAGCTGTAGTCACCGGATGCAGGATTGCGAATTTCTTCATCTTCACTGACGTTTCTTAAGAATGAGGAGAACATTTCGTCAAGAACCAGAAAGTAGTATCCGCTTTCCTTTTGCGACCAAGTGTTAAACTTGCTGAGTCGCCTGTCGAAAGTACCCGATAAAATGTGATAGTAAGTATGGCCGATGGGATCATAGGTGCGCTTAATCTGCAAACCATCCGGGCGAAAAAGCTTGTTAAATCTGTTAACGAAACTCTTTAGCTCAAGCGTCTTTTCTGCGCGACCAGAAAATCGCTTATTGTACTCTGGAATTAATTAAATACGGTTACAAGACGATAACATAGTGGTGATAAAAAGCAACAAACCCTCGATTAAACGAATCAGTTTCTTTTCAGAGACGCACTGCTGGCTGAGCATGAACTGATTGAACATTTGCGAAATGCTCACTGCAGAGTATTGTTTCAGCGGCTCTGTGGTTTCAGCTTGGTTTGAAGTTGGTGGATCGACTTGCGTGTTACGAGTCTGAGACGTAAACACTGACTCCGGCTCGTCAATGTCCTGTGAGGGAATGCGAGGTTTCGTTTCATGGCGACTAGTACTGGCGACCGGAATCACCGGAGGCTCTTCATTAGGGGCAGCTCGTGACTGAGAAGAAGAAGGATAGGGATCGGTTTTCTTGTTGCGGCCAGAGGCAACAATCACCGGTTCAGAACGTTGCGAAGTCTGCTGCGACGAGCCACGAGAAGTATGCGGCTGATTGTTGTCAGCGAGATGTACTTTTGACTGCGCATTGATAGTGGACGCTTCCTCCGAGTTATCCAGTAAACGCTTCCGCTTAGTAGTTCGGTACAATGGCATCTTGAAGGCAGAGAATGGAGATGCAAATCGACAGTTTGGCGGTGAAAGTTGCGTCAGTCAGAGATCGTTTGTCAACGGCGCGAAAGTGCAATGGCTAGCACGAGTGTTGTTTTTTCTAAAAATTTTTTAGCATTGCGCCCTCTGCTGGCTGCAACGGCAAGTTTTGAGAATGACTCAATTTCTGGTTCACAGAATTTACAGAATTTCTTTTACAGCTCTTTACCACTATTTCAAACGCATATTTCCAAGTTTTACTAAAAGTCGTTTCTAAAAAACAACCAACACAACAGTCGTCTAAATAAATAATCTCAGGAAATAGTTCGAAATCAGCCGTAAAGGCGCTGCGATCGGAAAATTCAAAGCCTTTATTTTTGTTTTGGTTCTCTGCTGCGGAGTTTTTTTTTCTCTTGTACAGCTGGATTCTACAACTTTCATCAGTATTAATCAAACTCAGCTTCAGTGCTTCAGTGAGGGAAGACTACAAGACTTCCCGTTTTTGGCGAAAATCTTCTGTGATCCCAACTTCTTCCCAGCAGCAAGGGCAAGATGAGTCAACGCAATAACCAAAACAGCAAAAGTGGAGCCTCAACTCTGACTGGCTTTCTGGCTGCAGCTGGAGTCGGTGCCCTGCTGGGATACCTCGGACACAGTCTGCTAAGCGAGTCGGAGAACGCCAACGCCAACAGTCCCCAGTCGCACCGATCTTCGAACAGCAGCTCAGTGCCCATTCAGCCTCCGAAAGCGTGTGTCATCTGCATGCAGGAGTTATCTCCTCCGCTGGAGCAGCTTCCGTGCTCGCACCTTTTCCACCAGTCCTGTCTTCTACTCTGGCTGGACAAGTCCGCTTCCTGTCCAACCTGCCGTTGTGGTCTCTCCGGAAGTCAAATGGATGCGTATCTGCGACGAAATGCTGCTTAGCTAGATGTTTTTGCTGTTTTCCTTTTTATTTTTTGTTTTAGTTTTAAAGTCATGTTTACCAACCACTTATTGTTATCCTTATTTGATCATGAAAGTAATTGATTAATTGTAACTCTGTAATTCAATAAAACCATGAGTACTTTGATTTATCCAAACCCTGTAAAGATTAAAAACATCAACTTGGACTTGTTTAGTTTATTATATACCTTTTTATCACAATTAACAAAACATGAAACTACTTTCTCTGAAATATTCACATGCGTACACTAAATGGGTGTTGACAGTTATGATACATTGACATTCAGTCTCCTAGTCTTAATCATTTAAATTAAAAACAGCACAGAGCTCTAAAACAACAACGACACTTAATCTAAATCTTGATCATCATTTTGGTCAATCTCTTTCAACTTTGCAGTAATGAACTCTTCGATCTTCTTCTTCAACTCAACATCAGGCACGAGCATGTCCATTGTCAGTGGTGAACGGGTGTAGGGATCAGTGTGATCGCTAAAAGGATTGAAAGCAAAATTGGTGAGTTGACATTAAACGAATGAGCATTTTTCACCAGAAACTACTCACCTAAGTAGATGGCGACTGATGGTAGCTCGATCGAGAACCTTTTTCGAGCCAGGCAGAATGACAGGATCACTCATCATCGTGCTCATCAGTGGGTCCAAAAACTCCTCCGGAATATCGTCAACTGGAATTTCCCGCTTTCGCTGACGCCGCATCACTTCCTTGACGCACCGGTCAACTTGCATAATGTCCTCGCCGAGCATTGGCTGGCCTAGCTTTTGAGTCAGTATTTCACAGGCTTGCGACAGCAAATCAGCAGAGTATGATCGATCGTCCTGGCAAATAGCCAAGCAGAAGGCCTCGTACTTTTCATTGATCTCTGGAAAGGAACTTGCCAAGTTGATAGCTGAAGGAAGAGAAAGCGGCCTCTGACAAGCGAGGTTCACGTAGATGCGAGAGATATTCTTCACCAAATCACCTGGGTTGAACTCGTACTCGTTCATCTGCTTCACTTTAAAGTTCTTTTTGTTCGGGCCGACTAAATGGTGAAGAAAGTAGTTCAGCATTGAGGCCATACGATCAACGAGAATTTTGTGCGAGAAAAACGACTTGACGTGATCAGTGATTATGGTCAAGGTGGCGATTGTGTCTCGGCCAATAAAGTTGTGGAATTTAGCCAATCGGCCCAGGTGGACAAAATTGGCCTCATTTTGCTGCCTCTGCTGGGTACTCTCTCGAGCCCAAGCGCCCGAGTCTCGCTCCTGCTGTGCCTCTCTCAGCTTGGCCATCAAGGAGAGGCCTTCATCGAGGAGAAAGATGGCATCATTAATCAGCAGGTTGATGAAACGAAGAAAAATGGGCGACTGCACTGAGTCCATATTATGTTCGGCGAAAGCTGCCAGAGACTTTAGCTTCTGCTGGTGCTCTGGCCAAGTGCACAGGTACTTGAAGGCGACGTACATTGGTCGACGGTAGTTGAACTTTTGCTCAAAGGCAACCACATCCCCATTGTTGGTTTCATCCGATATTTCAATGCTCACAAAAACGTCCAACAAAGAGGGAAAGAGATGCTCAATGAAATAGGGCTTCTTATACAGTGGCTCCAAGTACATTCTGCAAACAAAGGCGGTATTTATCAGTATTGGCTAGTAAAGGAAGAAGAACACAAACACTTACGGCTGAACGTTCACCTGTACATTGGGCAGTAAAGCTTCGAGCATTTCCGACATCTTCGCTCTAAGATGCGGATTGCGCATCCGGTTCTGGCTGCCCATGAAGAGGACAATCATCATGAGGAAGGGCTCCAGGTCGGATTTGATTGTCAATATCTTAGGCTTCAAATCAAAGTACCGCAGAAAGAGCATAAAGTCGATAATGTTTTCAATGAGAAACTCGGGAATCCACTTGAGGCACTTTGAAGACTGACTTTTGGCCAGTGAATCAGGCTTTTCTCCGCTGAGAATCAATTGCAGATTTTTGAATGACTGAGCTGCCTCTGCTTCATTCTCGCAGACGGCCAGGTTGTTAATCCAGGCAGCAGTGGCGAGGTAAAACTCCAAAAGTAAATTTACAAAGGAGGTCTCCACTAGAGCTGCCTTCATTGACAGTGTAATGGTCATGTTGTGGTCAAGTCGGGTTATCGTCTCCTGCTGCGAGGGCGTCAAGTTGTCGCGATTCATGAACTGCAGCAAACTAGTGAGACCAGAGGCGTCGAGGCGGCGTTGAATTTGACTGTTTTCCTGGTTAATAGTGTTGAAACGTTCATGAATCACTCGGAAACCAAGGTGAAGTGCTTTGTGGGTGGCAAAGAAGCATCGAGTGATAAAGTTGGGCTGATAGTTCGCTAATTTGTTGGTGTCATTGCACTCTTCTCCGATGCTCATTGAACTGCTGTCGGCTGAACTTGCGGTATTGCGGCTCGACTCAATATTGGTCAGCACGGACTCTTGGTTCAGAATGTCCAAATAGGGACGGTAATCGGACTCAAGCTGAACGCTTTTCGGAAGCCTTTTCGTGTAGCCAACGTAAATGGGGTCCACTTTAAGCATCTTTTGATTGACTGGCATTAAAGAATCGTCACAGACGCTGCCATAAAGACTAATGTTTTCAGGAATAGAGC